ACCACATGGCCAGCCAGATCTATTTAAAAATTAACAATTCCTAAAGAAGACACATTCTTACCCCCTGACACTACTGTGTATAAAAAAGATCCCAGTGCACAGTTCTGGGAGAAAAGTTGGTGGGGCTAACACAAGGCCATTCTAATTATGTTGAAAAATTCTTGGCATAAATGATTTCAAGATGCTGTTCATAATATAACCTCTACTGGATCTGCACTCCTAAGACCTTTATAGTAATTTATGTCCCAATACATACCCTTTAATCAAAACTTACCTATTATAGTACAGTTGGCATAATTGAACAGGGGAAAAAAAAGTTCAGGTCAGAAGATATCTGGCTCATTTCCTGGCCTTGGGTACAAGTTCATGCCTAGTAGGTTTGTGCAGTAAAGATATTTCACCCCAAATTTGTTTCCCATAACTCCACAGGGCAAATGAAGCCCATGAGGAGCCAGAAGGAAGGGGACTGTGTGCTGCCTGACTGAATGGGGCCTGTTGAGAATCTCTGAGCTCCAATTTCCTCAGGGGTATTCCGTGGAATGACACTGTCAGAAGATTGCACAAGGAGAAAATAGAGTTGGTGGTCAACAAGTTTCAGACATGATTTACGCTTGAGTCCTCCCTTGGAAACTCACAATACACAGGAGGCTTTGAGACGTCCCGCTGTGCAAGAAAAATAAAAAATTAATAAGTAACATTTCAGTTTGCTTAACCCCGAATTCCCAAAATGAGTTAACATTAGAGCCTGAAGTACCTGAATGCCTAGGAAGACCCCATGAAACTAATGCTTTAACTAGAAACCCTCTGGAGAAGAAGAGGATGTCATAATGCCACCTCCAAACGAAAGAGAGGGATCTTAAGCTTCACACATGGTGTGCAATCAACATGGTGAGACCCACCCACCACTTGGATCCTTCTCTAAATGCCTGGAACTTGGAATCACTCCTTCAAGACCAAGTTCTTCTAGAGAGCAGAGGAAAAGATGGCACATAAGAAAGGGAGAGCCAAAGAAGAACAATGTTGGAGGTATCACATTTCTTGATTTTAAACTATATTATAAAGCTATAGTAATCAAAACAGTATAGTACTGGCACAAAAACAGACACATAGATCAATAGAACAGAGTAGAGACCCCAGAAGTAAACCCACACTTATATTATTATATCATATCAACTAATCTATGACAAAAGAGGCAAGAATATACAATGGGGGAAAAGATAGTCTCTTCAATAAATGGTGTTGAGAAAACTGGATAGCTACATGCAAAAAACTGAATGTGGGAAAGATCAACCAAAGGACTTATATATGCATGCAATGGGCATAAGCAATGGACACAGACACTCGGAGGGTGGGGGGAATTGGGGCGATAAGGACACATATGTAATATCTTAATCAATAAAGAAAAAAATTAAATAAATAAAAAAGAAAAAGAAAAAAAACTGAATGTGAACCACTTTCTTACACTATATACAAAATAAACTCAAAATGGATTATATAGGTTGTCCCAAAACTGTATATACACACTTTGAATAGTTATAACGGCAATATTTATTAAAATAGATTTCATTTTCAAAATTGAGCTAACAGCTCTTAAAGTATGTACATATTTTTTGGGGATACCCTGTAGACTTCAATATAAGACCAGAAACCATAAAACTCCTAAGAGAAAACATAGGTAGGAAACTGTTTAACATCCATCTAAGAAATATTTTTTTGGTTATGTCTCCCCAGGCAAGGACAACAAAAGCCAAAATAATGTGATTACATTAAACTAAGAAGCTTTTGCACAGCGAAGGAAATCATCAACCAAACGAAAAGGCAACCCACTGAATGAGAGAAGATACAAATGATACATCAATAGGGGTTAATATCCAAAATACATAAATAACTATTGTACACCTCAAACTCATATAAGGTTGTAATGCCAACTATACTTTAATACTTTTTTAATATTTTAATTTAAAAGAAAGGGGGAGAACCGCAGACGGGAAATAGGTATGACTCGGTTCTTCTACATTTGATTTATCAAATTCTCACTGAATGACAAATTTCAAACAACATGTCTTACTACCTTCCAGACGCCCAACATATTATTTCGTTAGCTCTAAGTTTCCACGGCTCCCACATAAACAGATCAGCCTAAAGGAGAAGACCACATCTGGCCAATCCAGCAAGTCAGAACTCCAGCTCAGCCGCTGGGTGACCTCTGGCAGAAACCTTAAATTCACTGTGGCCCTGCTTCCATATCTTGAAAGCAGAGGCGGCAGCCCTTTCATCAGGCTAGGCAGGATGGGGAAAAGAAGATCATAAAATCCTTTGCAATGCATTCATTGTCCTGTAAAAGCTTAATGATTATAATCAAGCTGTGGCTAGCAGTCTGCTAGGTCTGCACATGACATTCAGCAGTCACTGCACTGGTATCTGATAACAGGATGCTCTCAGCCCCAGTGTGTCCATGAGCTGCACAAACTGGTCTTGGCCAAGTCAGGTTTCTTCACACAAAACTGTCAGGGGAAAAACATTGCTGAAGTCAAGTCATCTTGATCTAATCATCATCGTGTCTCATTGGAGACAAGATCCTCTCAGCCTCCTAACGAAGACCATGAACTTTGGTATACCTGTGGCAGGCTGAGGGGACCACCTTCATGAAACAGACACCTGCTTCAGAGGGCCACCCACTGTACAGCATGTGCTTGTTCTAACCACATCAAAGGGGGCAAAGGCATTACCTGAACTATGATGGGGGAGAGGGATAAGGGAAGATCTTTTAACTTTCCATATCAAAGTATTGTAAGTCCACATAGGCAGCAGACTTAAAGGAGTAGTGTTGGATGGATTGGTCAGGAGTTTGGGTTTTAAAGTCAGATGTATCTGGATTCAGATAGCAGTTCTTCCATTTGCCAACTTCTTTGACCTTAAGTAAGTCATTTTGTTACTAGAGAGCAGCCCACGTCGGAGGGGGCTCTCACCTCTTTGGCTCTGAGAAAGAATTTATACGAGTGACAGAAAGCAGTGTTGAAGCAAAGCAAGCAAGTTTATTGAGGAAGCAAAGCCATTGGATTTATTAAGAATACACTTGGCATAAAGCACAAGTGGGCAACTCAGCTAGTCTGAGCGCCCCACCTAGTGCATGGGGGTTCAAGGGTTTTATCTTTTTGCCCCTATAGGTTTCAAAGTTCCCCTGCTGAATACCTTAGGCAACAGGCTAGATTTCAAGGTGATTTCATCTTGGCAATCCCAAGACTGCTGACTTCTTTGTTCAGTAGGTGAGATAAACTCCCCTTTCCACCTCCTCTTCCCCTAGCAGCTATCTATCCTACCTAACAATTTAATATCTCAAAGTCTCAGTTTTCCCCTCTACAGAATGGGAATGATCATGCTTACCAAAATTGGTTAAGAATTAAATGAGATGACAGTTACTTGTCATTTCTGGCTTAGGTGGTGATGATGATGATGATGATGATGATGATGGTGATGATAATGATGATTACAAAAACAAAAAAAATAGATTCCTCACCACATGCCATACAGAGGCCAAAACTCTACTAAACTGGACAGAGGTCATCTCTTCTCCATCTTTGCATTCTCAGTACCTGGGCCAGTGCTCAGTAAGTTTGATTAGACTAAATTGATTGTATGATGCTGAGTGCAAAGGATTAGGCTGAAAAGTGGCAGATGCTTGGATTAGAAAGATGAGGCCTCCTTCATGAGCCATTGTTTAAATATGGACAAAACTAGTCCAGTTAGCCTCACCTAGACTGATGCCTAAGCAGTTTTCTTCACTGACACAAATTCTGCTTATTCAAGTCCTCATTTGAATAATAATAGCAGAGGAAGCTCAGACTGGTTCAGGTGATACTTTTGGAATTGCTTGTAAGATATAGATATGAAACCAGCCCTTTGGCAAAAATAATTTCTTTTTCCCAACCTTTGTTTTTAATCTCTCCAAAAGAAAGCACTGACCAGGCCAGTGTAGACAGGACTAGCATACTAGTTTTAATATCATTACTCTTGTCTTTCTCATCCTCACTCCCATCCCTTGCATACTGACCACCATTCTAGCCATCTATTCTACCACCCATTCCATACTCCCAGTAAGATTTTAAAGAAGTAAAATTGTGCCCTCTCTTCTGTCTTATGGTTCATTGTGACTTCTTTCACGTGTTCCTTTTCTATCCCTTCGCTTCCTCCTAATCTCCCATCAAAAAGTGACTTCTTTTTCTTTACTCTTAAATGGCTACTTTCTGATCAGGTCTTGTATATATGATACATAAATGCAATTCATTCTTTCTTTTAACCAACAAATGTTTTCTGAGTGCCTGCTCTATACAGGCTCTGGAAATTCAGTAGCAAACAAAACAGATATGGAACCTGCTTTCATAGAACCTACATCTTATTGTACTCAATTCCTTCCTAAACAAATAAATGGGTGGTTAAACCCAACATCTCTTCTGTATGGTCAACCTTTGAAAGAACCAAGGAGATACTGCCCTTGATCAAAGAGTGATAGAATCTCCACTATAATCTGACTGGTTAACTATCGCTTTCTCAAAATATACTTTGTCCATTCTACTCCCCAGCTTTCTTCAGACTGTCTGCAATGCTTCCCTACTCCTCTTGGCCTGCCTATAATTCACTCATCCTATCCAGAATAAGACCCATATCCTCCCAGAAGCCCTCCCAAACTACTTTGGCCATCAGTGGTACCTTCCTTCTTCAACCTGTAGAGTGCTTGTGAATTATAATCAAACTTCACAATTATATCATACTCTCTGAATTCCTGAGATGGTATATTTTCCAATGTTCTAGTCCCTTTCACCTAGTGCAGTACCTTCCATTTAACAGGTTTTAGCAAAAGTTTTAGATTAGCTGAGTAGCAAAGCACTCTGAACATTCATGGGATAGGTGAGGGTACATAAATCACTATTCTAAGGCATGCATTCAAAGACTTTCAAAAATTTTTGCACCTTGAAAAGCATAACAGAAAGGACCCCCAAATCTAATCTTGAAATACAGGGCAAGGCTAAATGATGTTGATTATGCGAAACATGGTTTATTCTTATATTATTATTATTATTTATTAATGATTGTATTTTCTATCTGTGCACCTACTTTTGCCCACCCTGTATATGGGCACTGAAAGAAGGGATTACATTAATATCAGAAAAACTGACTTTTTGCCCTATAAGAAGTTATCATCACTCCCCATTTGTAACACCCTATAGAAAATATGCTTCACTTCCAAGGCCCAATTTGTGCTGCTGAAAGCCCTTGCTCGTGTAACTTGGGAGATGCTTTCCAATGATGTGGTTCTAGATGAGCCTTTAATGGTGTGCCCTCTGCCCAGATCTGACAGCAAGCCCAGAGCTAGGACAGACACCCAGAGAAGCTGGGTTCACAGCACTCTTCACCTGCAGATAAGGAAAAGCCTCAAAAACATGTATCTGAAAAGTTCTAATTATACATCTGACAGAACAGCTAAAAGGCTAAGACAAATGTCTATTGTATAACCTCATTAGCGAGTTTTAAGGTTCAAAAGTTTTAAGGGTTATTTAACTTCATCACACTTAAGAAGTACCCTGCCAGGCACAACATAAAGGAAGTAATATGCATTCTTGTCTTCTAGAAGTATTGATCCCTAGAAATTCTCCTGTTTCTGCTCTTTTACAACCTAGAATGAAAATTTTAATTCCTGGTGATACTTTGATAGTTATCTTCTATGTGTTTCATCTCCTTTCTCTTGGAATTAAACTTTTATTTTCAGAGTTTAAAGTGTTCAATTTTTGAATAGGTAACTCATTCACATGGTTCAAATATCAGAAAGTTTAAGAAAGTATACAGTAAAAAGGTACTTTCCCATCCCTCTCCCTGCAGGTTAGTTTTTTTGTGTGTGTGTTATTAGAAAAAATATCATAGCCCAGCTGGCGTGGCTCAGTGTCAACCTATGAACCAGGAGGTCATGGTTCGATTCCTGGTCAGGGCTTTATTTTTGGAATTAAATCTTCTTATCACAGTATCTTCCACTCCAAGTCATCGGTGCCTTCTGGTAAGAGGTTCAGTGCTTTGCACCATGCCTGGTGTAGAATGGGGGACTCAACAAATGCTTGTGAATCAAGAGACTACTGTGGGAAGAAGAGAGAAATGCACAGCCTGTCTTCTGCTTCTCCACTAATACTATGAACTGGGTCAGATCCTCCTTGAGGCAAAGGGACAAGGACTTTGACCTTCCAAAGTCCCTTCAACCTTATCCCATTTCAAGTGGTTTTGAGGATGGGATGGGAAAGGGACATTTTTTTAAAGTAGAAGAGAATCAGGTGACTCTTTCCCCCTCCCCAAGTGGGAGTTAGTGCTTGTTTCTCAATAAATTTCCACCTTTTGCTATAAAAAAGTAGAAGAGAATCAGAAATGAAGACAGGAAGGCGACTGAAAGGAAGATACTGTGTAGAAGAGTGGGGGGTGCAGACTCCAGAGAAGCATGCACCCGTCTGGAAGGGAGGGGTCAGAATGAAAGCCACTGAAATTTCTAGACATTGGCACGCACACCCTCGTTCCACTCCCATACTTACTTCAGGGTGGGATTCAGGGTGGGAAACACTCAGATTAGGATTCAATAACTGGACCATGACGCAGGCGATGACTGAACGCCTGGGCCTGGAGGAAACATCCCCAGCCAGACTGGCACATGCCTGCTTGTGCTGAAAGTGCTCTTTCCATATTTGGGAGGCCATGACCTTTACTTATGCAACCTAAAGCATCTACTGAGTGCAAAGCCTTAGCTCCCAACGTCCTTTATGTTATGCCTTGTTATCAGAAGGAAAACCTCTCTCACAAAGTTTTTGTTGTTGTTGTTTTGTTCTTTTGATACACACCTCTATCCACTGAGCCAAACCGGTTTCGGCTATGTTATGCCTTCTTATCAGAAGGAAAACCTCTCTCACAAAGTTTTTTTGTTGTTTTGTTCTTTTGATACAAATCCTCATCTCATCCCAAAGAGTGACTTACCATTTGACTAGAAACAGATCTAAACCCAAGAAAATAGAAAATGTCACACAGCACATCTACCTTTGAAAAGCTATGGCCCTTCTTCCATATGGCAGCTGTCAACCTTTTCATCCGAGATACCAAAAAAAAAATCTCCACAGCCCAATCAAAAATGCCTGTTTCCTTCATTCAGAGTATTCACCAAAATACAAAAAATTAAGGGTGTTTTTTTCCCCCATTCAGTGTGTCTTTTGCCAAATCCCAAAGCTCTGTGAAACTGAGGAGCTGCTGGTTAGGAGAAAGATACAGTTACAGAACAGAGAAAACAGAGCACTTGACATCTATGGCCACCTCAATGGCAAAGAGAGCCAGGAGCTCTCTGCTACTCTGGGTGACAGCTGGAGTGGGCAGAAGGTGGAAGTGCCCTCCGGGGCTCACTTGTGCTCAGTCACCCTGTATGACATGATGTAAGATGGAAAAGCATCTGCTGACTCTCCGAGGTAATAATTACCACCAGGGTGGGGGTATAATTAAAGTAAGGGTAATTTACCTTAAAGAAGATAAAAATTAAGAATTATTAATGATCATAATAATTAGCCCTTTTATATCTAAGAGTCACAAAATGCTTTACAAGCTATAATTATCACAGCTCCCCTCTGAGGAAGGGATTCATATCTTACAGCTCCTCACTTAACAGAGGGGTGAAGTGATGGGCATGGAGGAGGCAGCGAGGGGTGAAGTAATGCTTCCTCTGTCATCTGTCCTGTAAGTAGCAAAACTAGAAAGAGGCCCCAGAAGGGCTGACTCCCATGATGGTATGTGCCCTCATCCTCAGGCCATCACCCAAATCACAGAACTCCATCCCAGATCAAGCGACTCATCTCATTCAAACTTGGCCATTTAAACTGCAGCAGTGCAATAAAATTACATCAGATCAGCAAGGATTTTACTAAACACCTGGTGGAAATAAAAGACACAGCATTGCCTCTAAGGAACTTAAAACCTAATCAAGAAGACAGAGCAAGCACCCATTAAATTAGAGGAAAATATGGAAATTACACACTAACTAGTACTGGGTTGTATGATGCTGACTATGCATGCTGTGGAAAGAAATTTTTTTAATTGGAAGATTGTTATATGGAAAGGTCAAGGAAGGGCTGGGAGGGAAGATGGAATTTGCATGGGGCCTCAGAGAAAATACAGTAGATTTTGGATGGGCAGAGGTAGTGTTCCAGGGTATGGGTCAATGAATAAGAAGAAATAATAGAAAAACTTGAAAGGTTTAACACATAATTTTAAAGAAAAGGTCTTCATTAGAAAGGTATTTCGAGAGCTCACCAAAGAATCTTACTTTTTATAAAGCCACCTTAAAGTCATCCCACTTGGACATTTTCCCAGAGTTCCATGTCATGGCCCGTAGTGGGCTCTGGAAAAGCCCATTAGGCTGAGAACGACACTGGCACCTTCTCTGCTTTATCTAAATTTTCACAATAAGGCCAAAACAGGGTTTGATCCTGGTCAAATACCGCAGAATGTCAAGTCTATTATCTACTTTTTCCGGATTCTGACCGGAGAAAATAGGAAAAGAGCCTTTGAAAGAGTTGAAGACCAGGAAAACCTGGTACTTTGTTAGTTCTATTTGTTAACCCAGCAGAGCTCCACACCCAGAGATTTCAAGCATGGATGAGGCTTCAGGAATGAATGATATAAATTTTATTTTCTCTTTTCAATTCTTCTGTAATAAAGAGCTCACATCTCAAAGCCAAGTATCAGTACAACACTGTAGCTATGCTCTGAACCCACTGGCATTAATCCTTGATAAAGAAGGATATTCTTACATAATGGAGCAGGAGTCCATGGGTCATTCCTGGGCCAGTCAGGAACGTTCTCTGACCTTTCGGTGCCTCAGTCTCCAGTCTTATAAAAGAAAGATAATGAGGCCTTTTGTCTATAAAGAAGATTAAGATGCTCAGATTATACAAACACCATTCTTTTTTGATGAACCACAATGAGTGGACACTGCCTCATTTCAGGGATTCTCAGTTGGTCTTTCAAAAAAATGGACTGAACCAATGTCAGTACTTGATTATTTTTTACATTCTCTGGTTTTGGATGGGCAGAGGTGGTGTCCCAGGGCATGACATTTTAAATATCACTTAAAATGATATTTTTAAATAATGGTACTGTGTTAAATAAAAGAACATTATGTAGCAACAAGGGCCACTTCATTAGAAGAATATCAAACCTGACTTTAGAATTTTAGCATTTGAATCTACTTACAATCTTTCTGATGTTTGACCAAGAGCAGCAAGGCAGACAGGCTAATTCTCTTAGGTTAGTTCAGGTTTTTTAATATCTTTCCTTGTGATATCCTGATTTTAAATGAGAATGGATAAGAGAGCCATCACTGGATTTAAGATCTAGCTTCATTCAGAGTGGGGAAGGAGGTTTTTGTTACGGTGAATGCAATTTCGGCCATTTTCTTCTTCTTCTTTTCTTCTGCTTCTGCTTCTGCTTCTGCTTCTGTTTTGTTTTGTTTTTGGTGGAGGATGCGGGCATTTTCTTAAGGCTGTTTGGAAGCATTTCCCTTTTGGGTTTGCTTCTATATTTTATTTGCTTGCTCAAACATGATTTTGGAATGATTAATATTTTCCCTTTTTTCCCATAGAAGCTAATGAATGTCTGGTCCTCTTTTGACTACTTTGACTATAGTAAGGTAATGGAATCACACAAATGCATCCCACCACCTGGGCTAAGGTTCCTCACAAACTACACACAGGTGGATAAAAAGAGAACCAGACATAGGCAGGGTTTGTCCATAGAATTCCTTGGAGGACACTCATAACAAAGGCTCATATGCACCCTGGATGGTGGTGTTCAGTGGTTAGAGTGATGGCCCATGCACCAAAGGGTGCCAGGTTTGATTCCTAGCCCCAGGCAGGGCACAGGTGGGAGGCAACCAATTGATGTGTCTCCTCATATCGATGTTTCTCTGAGGATTTTTGCTTTTTTAAGGCGCATATCCTCCGTGAGAGATTGTTTTGTTTTGTTTTTGGTGGAGGATGCGGGCATTTTTGTTTTTTTAAGGCACATATCCTCCATGAGAGAGAGAGGTTTCATGGTGATTTGTGGTTGCAGTGCTCATGATAGTTCTAGCCTAGAATTCGAAGATGAAAATAACTGAATAAAACCCAAAATAGAAGGTAGAAGGGGGGAGAGAAATCTTTACTCTTCACTAAGGAGCTGCTACATCAAGTTTGCTAACTGATCTCAAGAAAAGTGACAGTTCTAGGAAAAACCCTAGATCACAGAATTGAACCAGGCTAACAGTTGCCTTCCCATCACCTATCATTTCCACTTTCTTCTCCCCCAACCTCTGGGAGGGCAGCAAACAAGGAGTCAAATAGAATTCAATTCCATCATCATTTGGACCAATCTGCACATAAAGGAAGAGTCATCAAGATTTAGGCTCCAAATTACATTCCATTGAAGGACCCTACAGAGTCTCCTCAAAATTTACTTGCCTCTGTTGGACAAAGGAGGAGACCAAAATGCCAAAAGCCACTGAATCATTTAATAGTCTCCATAAACGTATTTTGAACCAAAGTTTCATATAGTCTGAAATGTAAGGGTGGGAGTCACTGACAACCAAGGATAAAATCCAGTTCCTTACAATAAAACAGCACTGGGGTTTGCATATGATCTCCAGGGTTGAGAAAGCCCCAGCAGACATAATGGGCTAGAGTGACCGATTACATTAATGCACTTCCAAGAGAAGCAGAGTCAAGTGCTTCGGTGTCATAATCATTAGTGACTTGAGCTGAGCAGGATGATTATATCTAAAAAAAAAACAGATTACACCAGCTCTTTTTCTCCAGGAGCATCAATATGTTAATGAGAAAAGAGCAAACTTCATTTAGATGTAACATCCCTAAGAAAGAAATTTAACAGATTTCAAATTCTCTTATAAGTAATTTAATGAAACATTTTTAAACTAACACCCAAAATTGTTTACTAAGAAGACAATCCTCAACTATAGGAAAATCATTATAAGACCCAAGAATATAAGTGCAATTTTTCCCCATTTGCATTTTAGAGAAGAAACTAAAATCAATTCCTTATACCCTTTCATTGTCCTAGAATTGTTTCAGACAGGGCTATACGCAGCTCCCTGTGGACTGTCATATCCCAGAGAGAAATTAACTAGTTCTCATTAGTTTATGTCAAAGTGTCTGTTTGACCCCAGCCTATAAGTTAGATTTTTTATATAGTAAATGGCTTAGACGTTACTACTTTGCAATAAAATCATAACTAATCAAGATTCTGACCATTAATTTTTGTTTTATTTCATTTTAACAATTTAAAAAAATTAGAGATTCTGACAAACATTCTATCCTTTCATGTTAGGTGGGGCCAGTACCCTGTCAGGAGGCAAGGTCTGTGAACCTCATGCCAAATAGGTACGTGAGCAAATAGTGAGATAAACAAACCATTTGTGGAGACAGAGGTGGAGCTGGGCTTGGTTAGGAATGAATCAGGCCATCCCACAGAGTGGGTGTCTCCTTTCCAAGTAGGTCTTCAGGGCACAATTAGAACCCCTATAAAAGACCCAGCTACCAGCTGCCCAGTACACTTGCCAGTGGTGTCAGCGAGCACTCGACTTCTCCCTCTCGTGAAGTGGGTAAGTCCCATTCAATGGGATCATGTTCTTCTGTATGTTGCTTCATTTTCCAGTTGTTGTAGATGTTGGCAGGAGGGGGAGTATGGGGGGAGTCTATTGTGTCAGAAGACATCAGTATCTTACAGAGATGTCTAACTCCATGCCATCTTCTTATGGTTGGAGCCATTACTCAAATAGAGACATGGTCTCCTCCCAAGGCTCTGAACTCTCTAAGTATGTTTGCATGTCAGGGGTTGGAAGATAAGTTATGTGTGACTCTGATGGGGTTCATCTTTCTAAAAACTGCTATCTCCAAAGTTTACCAACTCTTGGTTCTCTTTTTATATTGGTTCTGCCCAATATGGGCCATCTTCATGTAATTATGGTATCTGCAGTATTTCAAGTTGAGTAGTAACTACAGAAGCCAGCTAGATGAACCACTATTCTCACCCAGTCAGTGAAACCTCCCATGTATTTTTTTTTAACATTGATCTGCTCTTGGCTAAGTTCCATTTTTTATAATGCCAAGATTCAAAGGGTTTATTTGGGTTTAACAAAACTAACAATAAAACCAATGTTATTCAAATTTGTCCAGGTTCAATTTGACCCATCGACCCTGGTAGCCAGTCAGGAAGTACCTCTCAGAAGCTTTCAATAATTGAATATCTGTGATATATCTTAGTTAAGGCAGATAAAATGTACTCTTTGTTTTCTGCATTGGTTTATCTGAATATTGCAATGCCACCTTTAACTATGGAGAAGTAGTGCTTAATCTTAAAACTGCTGACTTGTGAATTATATTCCTAGATCTCTTATGGGCTATAATGTTGGGGAATAATCCACATTCCCTTTTTAATGTTCTAGTTGCCACTAAATGTTTTGCTCCACACCTAGGTGTATGTGGCTTCTATTCACTTTAAGATACTTTCAGATCTTCCTTCACCTTTTGGCTTTCACCTACCCTCTTTGTTCAATTTTAGAGGCAGATGCTATGAGTAGCAACATATCAAATTTAAATTTCTACATTATACTCTACACTGTCTGATCTGAAATATATTAAGAAGGAGAAAAAGAGAAGAGGAAAAGAGATGGATAATTCAGATTGTGTGAACAATCTGAAAGCTGACTACAGGATAGTCTGCAGATAATTCCCAGGCTTGAAGTTTCTCAGGATCTCTCTTCCCTTTTCTAAGAGCTGTACAATATTAAAAAATAAAATGCTTTGAAAGTCCAGGTTGAAAATAACTACTATTGTAAAGTCAAATTATTTAAGGATCTGCCCAAAACAGTGGGGCTAAAACCTCCCAAAGATCAGAAATAGAGTTTGATTCTGGATCCTATTTTATTGTTTTAGGTTTACTTGAACTGAAGAAAGGAAAAAAATGTCTCCACTTCTGAGAAGCATCTTCGATATCACTGAAGTTTTCAATCAATATGCCTCACATGATTGTGATGGGGCAGCACTATGCAAAAAAGACCTGAAGAACCTCCTTGAAAGGGAATTTGGAGCTATTCTTCGGGTAAGAAATATGAAAAGGACATTTCTTTATTCATTTGGGGTTATGAACTTCCTTCTCAAGAGCAACCAGAGCAAGGAATGGTGACTTTATATTCATTTTACACCATGATAGCTCTACACTACATTCCCATTCATTTTTGAGCCTGAAGATACTTAATTGTCATTGTAGTCTGAGTACTAAAGAAGTTACTAGCAATTATTTCATGTACTTGATGGCAATGGCAATGTGGATGAACTGGTGGTCATGGGAGGTTATCACCAAAGATGTTAGATCAAACTAGACTTGGAAGGAATTTAAAATTACTTGCAAATTTTGGTAATTAAATTCATATTGTTCACTAGTAAAATGGTGTGACCATAAATGTTTTGTTCTCTTTTCAAACATAGACTAAAAGTCAAATCAAAGGAACTAGCTATTTCAGACAGAAATGGCTGTTGCACATCTTCATAAAGTCCCATTTATTTCTCAGTTGAGAATAAGTTCATTATTATTCACCCAGCTAAAGAGAACTTGTGTTCTTTTAATCAGCATTAAATTACAAGATGCAAACACTTCCAACAAATGTATGCTATAAAATGAGGTATTCACATTTTTACATGAAGACAACAAAACTTCACCATACACCCTGGGATTTTCCTAATTGCTCTTATGTCTTTTGAGTGTCTGCATGTCGTAAAATGCATATTGTGTGAGAAAGTTTACTAGCTGTAAATGGTACATTAAAAAAAAACAACAACTTTTGTTTTCATCTTTTTTTTCATAGCGACCACATGATCCTGAAACGGTAGATTTGATCCTGGAACTTCTGGATCGCGACTGTAACGGGCTGGTAGATTTCAACGAGTACCTCCTGTTCATTTTCAAAGTGGCTCAAGCTTGTTACTACGCTCTGGCCGAGGCGTCCGGGCTGGAGGAGGAAGCCCCGTGCGAGGGAAAGGGGGCCCCGTTACTCGATCGCAGGCAAGAAGACCGAAGGAGGTTTGATCCCCGGGACAGAGAGTTGGAAGAAGAACGCTGGCAGAAGAGGCAGGAACTAGAGAGGGAGCTCGCTGAGGAAGAGGAGCAGAGGGAGAAGCTAGAGAGGCGAGAGCAGCGGCTGCAAAGGCGAGAGCAGGAAGCGCGCCGCCAGGTGGAAGAGGAGCTGCAGGAGCGCAAGGGGCGGGAGCCCGAGGAGTTTCCCGACCAAGAGCGGAGGCGAGAAAGGCGGGAGCAGCGAGAGCTGGAGCGCGAGCGCCAGCGCCTGGAGGAGAAACTGCGGGAGCTCCAGGAAGAGGAGCAGCTACCCCGGCGGGAACGGCAGGAGCTGAGGGAGCGCCTGGAGGAGGAGAAGGAAGAGGTGGAAGAGCAGCTGCAGAGGCTTAGGCGCGGGCGCCAGGAGCCCTTGGAGCAGGAGCTGAGGCGCGAGCAGGAACCGCGCCTGGAAAAGAAGCTGAGGCGGGAGCAGGAAGAGAGGCGAGAGCAACTGCTGAGGCAAGAGCGGGAGCAGGAGCTGAGGCGAGAGCAGGAACCGCGCCTGGAACAGAAGCTGCGGCGGGAGCAGGAAGAGAGGCGAGAGCAGGAGCTCAGGCGGGAGCAGGAGCCGCTCTTGGAGCAGCTGAGGCGCGAGCAGGAGCTGAGGCTCGAGCAGGAAGAGAGGCGAGAGCAGGAACCGCGCCTGGAAAAGAAGCTGCGGCGGGAGCAAGAAGAGAGGCGAGAGCAGCTGCTGAGGCGCGAGCAGGAACCGCGTTTGGAACAGAAGCTGAGGCGGGAGCAGGAAGAGAGGCGAGAGCAGGAGCTGAGGCTCGAGCAGGAACCGCGCTTGGAAAAGCTGCGGCGGGAGCAAGAAGAGAGGCGAGAGCAGCTGCTGAGGCGCGAGCAGGAACCGCGTTTGGAACAGAAGCTGAGGCGGGAGCAGGAAGAGAGGCGAGAGCAGGAGCTGAGGCTCGAGCAGGAACCGCGCTTGGAAAAGCTGCGGCGGGAGCAAGAAGAGAGGCGAGAGCAGCTGCTGAGGCGCGAGCAGGAACCGCGTTTGGAACAGAAGCTGAGGCGGGAGCAGGAAGAGAGGCGAGAGCAGGAGCTGAGGCTCGAGCAGGAACCGCGCTTGGAAAAGCTGCGGCGGGAGCAAGAAGAGAGGCGAGAGCAGCTGCTGAGGCGCGAGCAGGAACCGCGTTTGGAACAGAAGCTGAGGCGGGAGCAGGAAGAGAGGCGAGAGCAGGAGCTGAGGCTCGAGCAGGAACCGCGCTTGGAAAAGCTGCGGCGGGAGCAAGAAGAGAGGCGAGAGCAGCTGCTGAGGCGCGAGCAGGAACCGCGTTTGGAACAGAAGCTGAGGCGGGAGCAGGAAGAGAGGCGAGAGCAGGAGCTGAGGCTCGAGCAGGAACCGCGCTTGGAAAAGCTGCGGCGGGAGCAAGAAGAGAGGCGAGAGCAGCTGCTGAGGCGCGAGCAGGAACCGCGTTTGGAACAGAAGCTGAGGCGGGAGCAGGAAGAGAGGCGAGAGCAGGAGCTCAGGCGGGAGCAGGAGCCGCTCTTGGAGCAGCTGAGGCGCGAGCAGGAGGAGCGGCGAGAGCAGCAGCTGAGGCGGGAGCAGGAGTTGGCTGAGGAGGAGGCACTGCAAGAAGAGGCCCGTGAGCTGGGCGAGAGCCGTGCCCTGCGGTGGCAGCGGCAGCTGGAAAGCGAGGCCGAAGCCCGACAGAGCAAGGTCTACTCGAGGCCCCGCAGGCCCCGCAGGCAGGGGCCACTGAGGCGCCGCCAAGAGCAGGAGGAAGAGGAGGAGAGGCGGCTGCAGGAGCGCGAGCAGCGGCTGCGGGAGCGGGAGGAGGACTCCCAGCTCCTCCGACAGCAACGCGAGAGGCGGCTGCGCCAGGAGGAGGAGGATCAGCGCCTACAGGGATTCGAGAGGAAGCGGGAGCGGCAATTCCTTGAGCAGGAGGAGCAGCTCCAGGAGGAAGAGCGGCGCCGGGAGGAGCTGCTCCGCGACCAAAAATGGAGGTGGCAACTAGAAGAGGAAAGCCAGAGGCGCCGCCACACACTGTACTCCAAACCTGCTCTACGTGAGCAGCTGCAGCGCGAGGAGGAGCAGCTGCAGCGGGAGAAAGAGCAGCTGCTGAAGGAGGAAAGAGAGGAGAAAAGACGCCTTCAGGAAGAAGACAGAAAGTTCCGCGAGGAGGAACAGCTCCTCCAGGAACGGGAAGAACAGCAGCTGCGCCGCCAGGAGCGCGACAGAAAGCTCCGCGAGGAGGAACAGCAGCGGCGCCGCCAGGAGCGCGACAGAAAGCTCCGCGAGGAGGAACAGCAGCGGCGCCGCCAGGAGCGCGACAGAAAGCTCCGCGAGGAGGAACAGCAGCGGCGCCGCCAGGAGCGCGACAGAAAGCTCCGCGAGGAGGAACAGCAGCGGCGCCGCCAGGAGCGCGACAGAAAGCTCCGCGAGGAGGAACAGCAGCGGCGCCGCCAGGAGCGCGACAGAAAGCTCCGCGAGGAGGAACAGCAGCGGCGCCGCCAGGAGCGCGACAGAAAGCTCCGCGAGGAGGAACAGCAGCGGCGCCGCCAGGAGCGCGACAGAAAGCTCCGCGAGGAGGAACAGCAGCGGCGCCGCCAGGAGCGCGACAGAAAGCTCCGCGAGGAGGAACAGCAGCGGCGCCGCCAGGAGCGCGACAGAAAGCTCCGCGAGGAGGAACAGCAGCGGCGCCGCCAGGAGCGCGACAGAAAGCTCCGCGAGGAGGAACAGCAGCGGCGCCGCCAGGAGCGCGACAGAAAGCTCCGCGAGGAGGAACAGCAGCGGCGCCGCCAGGAGCGCGACAGAAAGCTCCGCGAGGAGGAACAGCAGCGGCGCCGCCAGGAGCGCGACAGAAAGCTCCGCGAGGAGGAACAGCAGCGGCGCCGCCAGGAGCGCGACAGAAAGCTCCGCGAGGAGGAACAGCAGCGGCGCCGCCAGGAGCGCGACAGAAAGCTCCGCGAGGAGGAACAGCAGCGGCGCCGCCAGGAGCGCGACAGGAAGCTCCGTGAGGAAGAACAGCTCCTCAAGGAACGGGAAGAACAGCAGCTGCGCCGCCGGGAGCGCGACAGAAAACTCCGTGAGGAGGAACAGCAGCTGCGCCGCCAGGAGCTCGAGCAAGAGCTTCGCCAAGAGGAACAGCAGCTGCGCCGCCAGGAGCGCGACAGAAAGCTCCGAGCGGAGGAACAGCTCCTCAAGCAACGGGAAGAACAGCAGCTGCGCCGCCGGGAACTCGAACAAGAGCTTCGCCAAGAGCGCGACAGAAAGCTCCGCGAGGAGGAACAGCAGCTGCGCCGCCGGGAAGGCCAGGAACAGCTTCGCCGAGAACGCGACAGAAAGTTCCTTGAAGATCAACAGCTCCTCCGGGAACAGGAAGAACAGCTACTACGTCGCCAAGAAGAGCAGCAGCTGCGGGAGGAGCAAGAACTGAGGCGCCGGCAGGAGCGGGAGAGGAAATTCCGGGAAGAAGAGCAGCTCCGCCAGCTGGAAGAGGCGCAGAGGCGCGGCCGAGGCTGGGAGGAAAAAGATAAGGGCCGGCAGCAGATTCTGGAGTCTGGCAAGCGTCCGTTTGCAGGTGTCCCGGTGCGCTCCAGCCCTCTCTATGAGTACATCCAAGAGCAGAGGTCCCAATACCGTCCTTAAGAAATGCCGCCATATCCCGACACTTGCCAAAGCTTCAGCAAAGGAAAATGGGAAACACTGGGTACCAGATGACTCAAATGTTTTTGGTTGCGGGAAAACTCTGTTCTGTTAGAATGTCTTTTTTTCCAAAATCTTAAACTATACTCATTTCATGTACTTTGTACTTCTACCTTTTCGTCTTCCTCAAGTAAGTCTTTACTGCAGGATGTCTTTGCTCTTTGGTGCAGATGTGGTGTGCATTTTTAAAAACAAGTCATTTAATTTGTTTAAGGAGTTTTGTTTGGGGAACATGTTAATTTACTGCTTTCAGAAGTAACAAGAATAATCAGATGTGAGAGTCAAAAGAATCGGGTCTGTTTTTTAAATGGTTGATCTATCTTGTGGAGAATTTAGATATTTTTTAGTGTTCAAGTTGGTATTTCTTCTTGGGCCTAAATTACATTTATATTTACCTCCAAATAACCTTTCATCTTTTGGGCATAATTAGCATAGATTGTGAAAGGGGACTGGATTTTTACTGTAGGGAAACTGACTTCTACAGAAACTGACTTCCATGTGAAAGTAGTCCATAATTGGAAGAAATCTCTATTAACATTTAGCTTTAAAACTTAGAATTTGATTTTTTTTTTACACTTGACTCCATAAACACTTAAAAATCTCATAAAGCAAAAGTAAGGTGTTTCTCAAAAACTCCAGAACTCAAATTTTAAAACTGTTTTTGCTGTAATCTATAGTCCTCAGTTCTCTTCCCCCAATCTTTGATAAATTTCAGAATATTACTACCTTTATTAATTTTACCTGAGAGGAAACCTGCTTAGGATCCAATAGACATCTATCTTCCTCTAGGGCCAATAAGAGATCACAGAGAGCATTTTGGGGGAGGGGAAGGGAAAAATTTGTAAACAGAGGGGCAAGTTCCTACAGGCCCTTAAGAAGACCCATCAGCCCACAATCCTTTGAAGCCTATTGATACTACCTTGGAGACTTCTTGTTGAAATAATTGGACTGTATTAAAAATTAATAATAAATGTTTAGCAAACAATTATTTTTGTCTGTTTTAATTATGCATCAAATCATAGCTCAGTATCTAGTGGTCTAGGAACTGAAAAAAACTGCCATTCACTTAAGGGTATTTGGTTATGATTATGTCTAAATTTTAAAAAAAGAAAGAGGAAAAAAAATCTTTGTTTTCCCCAACCATTTTTCCCTGTTAGGGTGAACCCTATATTATCTGACCCCTCCCCCCTGCCCCCAAAGCTAGGATTCTCTGCCCAAGTGTTTTTATTCTTGACCTCACAGCTTTCTGTGCTTGTTTTTTGTTTTGTTTGTTTTTTGCAGTGATTCACTGTTCATGGCAAATAATGGTGCTCCCAATATTTGTTAATATTTCATTTCAAGAATACAGCAACTTCTTTGTCTTTGATGTCTAATGAGCTGATAGTAGGAAATGGCCTGAAAGTTTAGCTCAGCATTATAGAAATTGTAGATGAGCTGTTGGTTTAAGCAACACAGTCTATTAAGTGACAGTCAGAATGTGTTTAATAGTAATGCCAAAAATATCAAATTATTATCTAATGATCCTGTGCCATCTGCTGGAGTCTATATTTAGTATTCAGGCCTTGGTACGAGGAATAAGTCCAAAGAAGGCCCTGATCCAGGATAGTATTTCAAATTGTGAGGGTCATGGATGACAAGGCATCCTAAGTTATAGATACTCATCATGTTTGTCAGTTGTAGAGATAAGAAAGCTCTGCTTCTGAGTATCATTCTGATGGAGTAAGATGGCATTTTCTGCAAGGAGCACCAGCCTCTCCCTCACTTGAACACAAATAGCAGATGCCCACCAAAGACAGAACCTGGAAATCCCCTGACACACTACCATGGAACATCACCTATTTCAAATGATTTCCAACTACAAAACTATTCTTCCCCTAAGATCAGTGTATGTTTTTCTTTACTTAAGGATCTTCCTGGAAACCATGGAAGAGCCTCCCTGGCTTTCTCAAAGGTCCATTCAATAGGCATTTATTTCAGAGCCCCAGGATACTCCTGAAATATACACTCATCATCTAAGCTACAGTTCAACAATAATAACTATGGTAAAAACAATCAAAGCCCTTCCGATTTTACAAGATGAGGAAAGAGCCATTTTCAAAGAAGAAAGTATTGTTTCGTCAGTTATAATAACCTCATTAAAAAAAAAAATGGGCCAGCCAGCCCATACCCATGGCTCTTCTTTTAGCAATGTGGCAGGCTAACCCTCCTGCTTCACCTAGTTAATATACATACATGGGCAGAAGCTTGAGGCTGTTGGGCAATTGACTGCTTAAATATAAACTGGGAGCTCTATTAACATTACCTTGGCTGCTGCTAAAGAATGGGGTTGAGGGTTTAAAATGCTCTGTGATGGCAAAGCTAGTCTCTATGTGTTATGGGCTGAATTATGTCCCCCCCCCCCAAAAGTTTATATATTGAAGTTTTAACCCCCAGTACTTTAGAATATATGAGATGCAGTATTTAAATAAATATTTTATTTAAATGAGATCATTAGGTGGGCCCTAACCCAGAATGAATGGAAATTTGGACACACATGATAGAGGGAAGATGATGTGAAGACACAGGAAGAAGATGGCCATCTACAAGCCAAGGACAGAGGCCTGGAACAGATCCTTCCCTCATAACCTTCAGAATAAAAAAAACAACAACCTTACCAACCCCTTGATCTTAGATTTATGGCCTCCAGAATTGTGAGAAAATAAATTTCTATTGGCTAAGCAACCCATTCTGTGGCTGTTATGATAGCCCTAGCAAACTAATACATCATGTAAGGGGAAGTTCTTTTGCTAGGGAAATCTATCTGTATTATAATGACCTTTATCCTCTGACATTGTGCAGGCCTGTCCTGGTTGCTCAAAGACCATCTTTTTCTTTTCCTTTTTTTTTTTTTTATTAAATCTGTCATAGTTTCTATGGTGCAGTGGAAATAATACTACAAGTAATAAGAAGCCTGGGGATTATTTATTCATTCATTTAATAAATATTTATTGAGCTCCTGCTGTGTGTCAGACATTCTAGGCAATATGCATACAGTGGTGAAGTAGACATTCTGGCCTATTCCTTCACTTTACTATCTGTGTGTCCTTGTGCAAGCCATTTAAGCTTTCTGGGCCTCCATTGTTTCATATTTCCAACTGTGAGTCTAGAATAGCTATCACCAAGGTTATTCCCAGGACTGAAAAATAATTACTTTAATTCTAACATTCAGCTTGTCCAACTGAAACTCTCAAAGCAACTCAAAATAATCCCTCAGCCCAACTCTACAGAAAACAGGGGGGAAGTTAACTACTAAAGGTGATCATCAGAGCCTAGTTCCAGTTCCAAAGATCTTTCTTTTCTAGCCAATCAGACCTGAACTTCTCTCAATTTGTCTCCCAAATTCCTCTCCAAAGTGCCTATCATCCCAGGTTTATTCATTGAAGGATAAGAACCCTACCTACTCCATTTTCTGTGACCCTAGTACAGCCGTGGGCAAACTACCGCCCGTGGGCCGGATCCGGCCGTTTTGAAATACCCATTGTGGCCCTCGAGTCAAAAAGTTTGCCCACCCCTGCCCTAGTACTTTCAAAGACCATTGCCCAGATCTGTGAACCTCACATATGCATTTAATTACTCTCATTTCTTTTCTGAAGAGAAAGCAAGTCCTGGAACTTAGTTCCCTCGAACTGAAAGTCTGTGGCCATTAGTTAAGTATGAACCCATCTCTACATTAATTACACATTGCTAATATTTTCATTCAGTCATAGTAATTATGTTTGTTTAGCAAGTGTACTAGACTGTAATCTTCTGAAGATTATAATCTATGTAATATGTAATAAGCACATGTTTCCCTTGTTAATAAAAGCTGACAGTCACATGCAATAACCTGAAACAAAACAAAAGTAGATTTCTGAATAGGTTATTATTTTCTGAACCCTCCAGACATCCATGGCAGGCACTCAAATTACAAAAACTTTTTTAAAATCTGATTTCTATTTGTCATTACTCCCCCTTTTTAAAAAAATCTGTTATATTTTCTGCAAGATAAACTCTAAAGTCTTTAGTTTGGAATTTAAGGCCCTCCACTTTCTAGAGGCAATCCACCTTTTAAACTCTGGTCCCTACCACAAGGAATTATTGTCATTTTAAACAGGGGAGTAATTAACCAAATTGATAGTTTATAAGGATCACTCTGGCTGCAATGTGGATGATGGGCTGGAGAGGGTCAAAATGAAAGCATTAGGAGGATATTATAATAATCCCTGTGAGGCCCGGCTGGCGTGGCACAATGGTTGAGCATCAACCTATGAACCTAGAGCTCATGGTTCGATTCCCAGTCAGGGTACATCCCCAGATTGCAGGCTCAATCCCCAATGTGGGGCATGCAGGAAGCAGCCATTCAATGATTCTCTCTCATCACTGATGTTTCTATCTCTCTCTCCCTCTCCCTTCCTCTCTGGAATCAATAAAAATATATTTAAAAAGCAACAACAATAATCCCTGTGAGAGACAATGATAACCTGAGCTAGTATAATAGATATGGGATCAAGAAAAGTGGGCATAGTTGAGACCTACTTGAGAATTAGAGTCAGTAGGAGTTACATTGAAGAGATGATGGAGAGGAGGAGATAAAAGACGAGATTAGATTTATAGCTGAAGAAGCTGGGTAGGTAGCGGTATCATTATTGAGATGGAAGCACAAGAACCTGAGGTTTGTAGTGAAAGGAAATGACAAGTTTAGTTTAGTTACATTGAGTGGGAGGTGTATTTGAGGCTTCCAGGAAGCATTATTTGGTAACTGGTTAGAGGAGTCTGAAGCACAGGTGAGGGGTTTGGATTTGATATATAAAAGGGGACTATCAGCCTATCAGTTGTAATAGAAGCCGTAAGAATAGATACGATTGTTCAGGACATGGAGAGAGGAAGCTGAAAAGCTGGGCTAAGACAGAACCCTAAGAAACAGCAACATTTAAGGGAAAGACAAAATTTAAAAACAAAAACAAAAAGGGGAATTAAAAGGAGCAATCAGAGAGGTAGGAAGAAAACCAGTAACAAATTAAACTTCCCGCAAATGCTCTTTTTTTGGCACGAAATTCAACATTTTTAGGCGTAAAAATATCTATGATGTTAACACCCTCAGAAAATTTGACATTTATTTGGTAACTGGTTAGAGGAGTCTGAAGCACAGGTGAGGGGTTTGGATTTGATATATAAAAGGGGACTATCAGCCTATCAGTTGTAATAGAAGCCATAAGAATAGATACGATTGTTCAGGACATGGAGAGAGGAAGCTGAAAAGCTGGGCTAAGACAGAACCCTAAGAAACAGCAACATTTAAGGGAAAGACAAAATTTACAAAAACAAAAAAACAAAAAGGGGAATTAAAAGGAGCAGTCAGAGAGGTAGGAAGAAAACCAGTAATGAATTAAAACTTCCCGCAAATGCTCTTTTTTTGGCATGAAATTCAACATTTTTAGGTGTAAAAATATGATGTTAACACCTTCAGAAAATTTGACATATGAAGTTTCGAAGCTTGTTGTCAATACAACAAAATAGCATACATATCAAATCGCATATATATCAACATATATGTAATTCCATCGATTGAAAAAATTCCGCACTATTAACCGGTAGAGGCACATTCTGCATTATTAACCAGTACCCGCATTAGTAACCGGTATCCACATTAGTAACCCGTACCCGAATTATTAACCCATTATTAACCGGTACACATTCCACATTAAGCCGGTGGGGTCACGACAGGAGGCCAAGGTTGCAGTGTGCCCGGCGTGAAAGGAAGGAATGGAAGCTGTCCGCTCCAGCACAGTCCCTCCCCCCTCCTTGTCCTTCCCTCCAAGGCCGCAGCACCACCAGGGCATGTGGGCGGCTGTTCCCTGGGGAGGGAGAGAGAGAGGCTGGGAGAATAGCATACATACCAAATCGCATATATATCAACATATATGTAATTCCATTGATGGAAAAAATTCCGCGCTATTAACCGGTAGAGGCACATTCTGCATTATTAACCGGTACCCGCATTATTAACCGGTATCCACATTAGTAACCGGTACCCGAATTATTAACCCATTATTAACCGGTACACATTCCACATTAAGTCGGCGGGGTCACGAGAGGAGGCCAAGGTCGCAGTGTGCCCGGCCGCCCCCCCTCCTTGTCCTTCCCTCCAAGGCCGCAGCACCACCAGGGCATGTGGGCGGCTGTTCCCTGGGGAGGGAGAGAGAGAGGCTGGGAGCGAGACAAACGCTTGTGTCCAGGGCTGACTTTCAAGGGCGCTGCTCTGCTATGTAAGAAACCCTGACCCAGAAGCAGGTCATCTACGAATGGTTTAGCACCAGGTCCCCCATGAACAAATGTGTGAGGGGGCTACCCCTTTCCAGTCACACCCCGTTTCCCAGGACAAAGGGCTCTCCGCTACCGGTACCCGAATTATTAACCCATTATTAACCGGTACACATTCCACATTAAGTCGGCGGGGTCACGAGAGGAGGCCAAGGTCGCAGTGTGCCCGGCCGCAGGGCCACCAGGGCATGTGGGCAGCTGTTCCCTGGGGAGGGAGAGAGAGAGGCCGGGATCGAGACAAACGCTTGTGTCCAGGGCTGACTTTCAAGGGCCCTGCTCTGCTATGTAAGAAACCCCGACCCAGAAGCAGGTCGTGTAGGAATGGTTTAGCACCAGGTTCCCCACGAACGAATGTGTGAGGAGGTGACCCCCTTTCCAGCCACACCCCGTTTCCCAGGACAAAGGGCTCTCCGCATCAAATCGCATATATATCAACATATATGTAATTCCATCGATTGAAAAAATTCCGCACTATTAACCGGTAGAGGCACATTCTGCATTATTAACCAGTACCCGCATTAGTAACCGGTATCCACATTAGTAACCCGTACCCGAATTATTAACCCATTATTAACCGGTAATTCCACATTATTAAGCCGGTGGGGTCACGACAGGAGGCCAAGGTTGCAGTGTGCCCGGCGTGAAAGGAAGGAATGGAAGCTGTCCGCTCCAGCACAGTCCCTCCCCCCTCCTTGTCCTTCCCTCCAAGGCCGCAGCACCACCAGGGCATGTGGGCGGCTGTTCCCTGGGGAGGGAGAGAGAGAGGCTGGGAGCGAGACAAACGCTTGTGTCCAGGGCTGACTTTCAAGGGCGCTGCTCTGCTATGTAAGAAACCCTGACCCAGAAGCAGGTCATCTACGAATGGTTTAGCACCAGGTCCCCCATGAACAAATGTGTGAGGGGGCTACCCCTTTCCAGTCACACCCCGTTTCCCAGGACAAAGGGCTCTCCGCTCGGGACCCCGTGGTCCCAATGCACAACGGCCCTCTGGCGGACCGGCTAATCGAGGCCAACCGAGGCCCCGCAGTGCTGCCCTATTGTTCGAATTCTGACTTAGAGGTTCAATCATAATCCCACCGATGGTAGCTTCGCCCCATTGTAGCACATACACCAAATGTCTGAACCTTCGGTTCCTCTCGTACTGAGCAGGATTACCATGGCAACAACACATCACCAGTGGGGTAAAACTAACCTGTTTCACGAGGGTCTAAACCCAACTCACGTTCCCTATTAGCAGGTGAACAATCCAACGCTGGGTGAATTCTGCTTCACAATGATAGGAAGAGCCGACATCGAAGGATCAAAAGCGACGTCGCTATGAACGCTTGGCCGCCACAAGCCAGTTATCCCTGCGGGAACTTTTCTGACACCTCCTGCTTAAAACCCGAAAGGTCAGAAGGATCGCGAGGCCCCGCTTTCACGGTCTGTATTCGTACTGAAAATCAAGATCAAGCGAGCTTTTGCCCTTCTGCTCCACGGGAGGTTTCTGTCCTCCCTGAGCTCGCCTTGGGACACCTTGGGACAGGTGCACGGCCCCAAACTCCCCACCTGGCACTGTCCCGGGAGCAGGTCCCACCCAGCCAGCGCAGCCGCCCGCTCGGCACCAGAAGCAGGTTATCCCTGTGGTAACTTTTCTGACACCTCCTGCTTAAAACCCGAAAGGTCAGAAGGATCGCGAGGCCCCGCTTTCACGGTCTGTATTCATACTTAAAATCAAGATCAAGCGAGCTTTGCCCTTCTGCTCCACGGGAGGTTTCTGTCCTCCCTGAGCTCGCCTTGGGACACCTGCGTTACCGTTTGACAGGTGCACGGCCCCAAACTCCCCACCTGGAACTGTCCCCGGAGCAGGTCCCACCCAGCCAGCGCAGCCGCCCCCTCCGCACCAGAAGCAACAGCCCCTCGGGGCTCACCCCTCCCCCACCCCCCTCACCGGGTTAGTGGAAGTAATGATCAGGGTAGTGGTATTTCACCAGCAGCCCGCCCCCTGGCGGGGACTCAGGGCAGGGGCGCCGGGGCCTCCCACTTACTCTGCACCTCTCCTGTCTCTTCCGCCTGCCAGACTAGAGTCAAGCTCAAGGGGTCTTCTTTCCCCCGCTGATTCCGCCAAGCCCGTTCCCTTGGCTGTGGTTTCGCTGGATAGCAGGGACGGACAGTGGGAATCTCGTCCATCCATTCCTGTGCGTCACTAATTAGACGACGCGGCATTTGGCTACCTCAAGAGAGTCATAGTTACTCCATTTACCCGCGCTTCACTGAATTTCTTCACTTTGACATTGAGAGCACTGGGCCGAAATCCCATCAACACCCGCAGCAGGCCTTCGCGATGCTTTGTTTTAATTAAATCATCGGATTCCCCCGGTCCGCACCGTTCTAAGTTGGCTGCCCAGGCGAGGCGCCGCGCGGAACCGCAG